GGGGGGGGAGGAACATATAATTTCCTTTTAAAAGGATACAGTTTACGTTGTATGTATACATACACATGTGGTTAAGGCACGTGTCCATGCTACACACAAGGGCATACTGCATATATGTGAAAAACTTTAAAATTTGATGATGATGATGGCATATCGACAATGATGATGGTGATGATGATGGCATATCGACAATGATGATGGTGATGATGATGGTATTTGTTTACTGCCCCCTAACAATCTCATCTAGGGAGTCAGGAAATATGTTTTCAATGTTATACTTAAACATCAAGATGAACATCTCCTTGGAGTATGTTCTGAAACAAAAGTTTATTAAACAAAAAAAAAAAAAAAAAAAAAAAAAAAAATGGACCAATGGGTTATAGGATTTAGCTTTGTTGTTTAAGTATGCGATAATACTAATATTAATTCTTGTTATTGTTTTAGCCAAATAAATATTATATATGAATGAATGAATCAAGAATTGACCTCACTGCACTAGGGACATTTCTACACGTGCTCCGCCTCCGTCTTCAACAACCCACTAAGAGTTGACATGATGATAGTGCCAGTTACAACCTGATTACAAGTTCGTCTTAGTTTCACCTTCAGTGTTGAATGTCTTGTCTACTCACCCCTCGTTCAATAAGTCTTTCAGTGTATGGATTCCCTATCTACTTCTTCTGCACTGTCCATTTGATCCCATAGAGCCTTCACCACATCCGCTTTATCATATAGTAGCTCATCGCCCAGAAGGGTGGCAGCAGCTAATCTATCAATTGCTCGTTACCTCACACACCTGAATTCCATGGACAAGAAAATGCGTGATCTGCCCTTGATCTGGGTCTTATCAAGTGATGATATTTGAAATGCTATGAAATGTATAGACAAATACTTCAAAAGAGAACGTCTATATGTGGTTAGGACGACCAGTTAGCCTCCTTGCTCAATCTTCTAGGGTGTGGAGGTTTAGGCCTGGCCTCTTGTTATAATTATTGTGTGTGGGGTTGGAGCTCAGCCCCCCTCCCCCAGTAATCTGGGTTGGGCCTCTTCGAGACAGAGGGCCCCGGCACTGCTCCTGCCTGAGAGTCCATCAAAGAACAAGCAGATTTAGACATATTTCCGTGGCGAAATCCTGATTGCTGTAGTGCGCCTAATGGCTGGTTGCCTCCGACTTCAACACCTTGTTTTGTTAGGGTAGACTGTGATCATACTCGAGGAGCCATCTAGTTTGACAGCACCAAATACTCGCCGTCGCCCCTTCTCCTGTTCGTTTAAACAGTTCCGTCACGAGAAGTCCAGGAGTTGGACTTTTGCTGTCAGAGGTGAGGAATGCACACGCCTTAGGAGTATTTGGTGAGAGGTGAGAGCTCATTCTCAACCCCCGTCCCCCAGCTATGACAGCAGTTTGAAACCTGTGTGAGTGTCGAGGCAGGTTCTTTCTTTTGCCGTCCTTGTTCTGGCAGCATTTCACATTGCTGGATAAGCACAGCAGCGTCATGGTGCCTTACATTCTCTCAGACGCTGTTGTTCCAATAATCATATCCACGGTATGGCCGCTGACTGAACGAACGAACGCTAGGACAAACGATGGAGATGCCGCCTGTCTGTCGTCAGGACAAACCACCTCAGAGACGACACATAGTTACAAGGCTCAAATGTGTCTTACAGGCAGATTCATTTTTTTGTTGTATACTACTGGTCTCAAAAGTTGACAAAAATTTCATTTTGCCAGTTGCGGTTAAAGTTATGGATGTCGCCCACCGACATCAGCTGTTGGACTGGAGTAATATTACCTACATTTTTTTTTTTTTAAACCAACAAACTTACTAAATCCTGCAGGAATCAGAGGATAAAAGATCACTTTCGAGATAGAGTTTTACTACAAGGCGACAAAAATAGGCGTGACGAATCCCCCCCCCCCCACCGCCCCCCACAACAGTGGGTATTTGGTGGTAACTATTGACACAAGCGAGTGCTTCATGTTCCGTGTTTAAAATAGAACAGCAGCGAAGTGTTCACCCCCTTATCAGCAGCACAAACATCTAGCTCTTAAAACGGTCCTCTTTTTTTTTCCAGGCTCAGCGTCTTTACGTATATTGTCAATGATTGTTGTGGTAAGTGAGGGAAATATTCTGTGCTGGATTTAGGCATAGAACCTCACAGTCTGCAATGGCGTTTTTGTATAATTTTGGAAATCATAATAAATAATTCCGCGTTTGCAAAATCAAGAATGAAAACGGTTTTAATTGGTAATTTAGGGCAGTGCTCTTCAAACCAAGGGCCGCGGGCCACTGGTGGCACGAGGAAAAGTTCAAGTGAACCGCTGACAATGTCTGCCAAATCGTGTAACAGGGTAGGATCGACACCGAGTCTTTTTTTCTGCGACTGTTTTCTGTAGAATTTAACACCCCAAGGACGAGAATCAAACAGGTACAAACCCCTTCAACCAGCAGTTCTCAACCTATGAGTCGCAACCCTTTTTGTGTCGAACGACCTTTTCACATGGGTCGCCAAAGACCATTGCAAAACACATATTCATTGAAGTTATAAAGTAGCGGCGAAAATAATTGTATGGTTGGGGGGTCGCCACAACTTGGGGAACTGTATTAAAGGGTCGCCACAACTTGGGGAACTGTATCAAAGGGTCGCCACAACTTGAGGAACTGTATTAACGGTCGCCACAACTTGGGGAACTGTATTAAAGGGTCGCAACAACTTGGGGAACTGTATTAAAGGGTCGCAACAACTTGGGGAACTGTTATGAAGGGTCGCCACAATTTGAGGAACTGTATTAAAGGGTCGCCACAACTTGGGGAACTTTATTAAAGGGTCGCCACAACTTGGGGAACTGTATTAAAGGGTTGCCACAACTTGAGGAACTGTATTAAAGGGTTGCCACAACTTGAGGAACTGTATTGAAGGGTCGCCACAACTTAAGGAACTGTATTAAAGGGTCGTCACAATTTGAGGAACTGTATTAAAGGGTCGCCACAATTTAAAGAATTGTATTAAAGGGTCGTCACAATTTGAGGAACTGTATTAAAGGGTCGCCACAACTTAGGGAACTGTTATGAAGGGTCGCCACAACTTGGGGAACAGTATTAAAGGGTCGCCACATATTAGGGAACTGTTATGAAGGGTCGCCACAACTTGAGGAACTGTATTAAAGGGTTGCCACAACTTGAGGAATTGTATTGAAGGGTTGCAGCATTAGGAAGGTTGAGAACCACTTCCTCAAACCATGTTCAACTGCCTATAAAACAGTCACCTTATGGCACCTGGCAGTAACGTCACCTAGAGTTCAGACTGGGATGGGTTGAGCTTTAGACCACTGATCAACATTATAACACAAGGGTAGCAACCCATAAGTGCTCTGTTCTACTTCTAAATCATGCCTAAGTCGGAAGAATCTCAGAGCAGTGCACGAACTCCGCAGCACCGGCGATGATCCTGAAATACTTTCTGGGATGGAAATAAGGACAATAACCCGTGTAGAGGCTAAATGATTCCTGCACAGCGACTATGGCGTCCTATGCGTTGATTTTGTTTCTGTGCTTTATTAGCTGTCAGGTGGACCGTGAAACAAGTTTTCCAGATTTGGTATTATTCTCTAATCCTTTTGAGGATGAATTTTTCGTCATTTGAAGCCCTACTCTGGCTCTTGCCAGGGGCTGCAATATAGCCTGGCTATTAATATGGTCTAAAGGCTGAACGCGGTTTCTGGGACCTCTCCACGGTGATCCTCACCCGCATGGTGGCACACTGTGTCATCGGGTGTTTATCGCTTGTGTGATGTCCTGGTGGGGTAGAAAGTCAGTCAGATTTGGTATCCGTGGGTGTAAAAAAGTTGAAGGACACTGACTTAGAGGATTGTCTAATTTCTCTGATTTTGCAAAAATATTCTCTATTATTTACAAAAATATGCTCTATTATTTACAAAAATATTCTCTATTATTCACACACACACACACACACACACACACACACACACACACACACACACACACACACACACAATAGAAACTAACCTCAATTTATTTTCATTATCGATATATTTAAAAGGCTTTTATATTTTATCCCCCCCCCCCTTTGTGAGATTTCCTGGTATTTTCACGGTTGGGGCCTCAGGGCCCCATCAATACGAACGTGGAATCAGCACACATCCGTATCGCACTCCTGAATATCCTCTTTAATTATGTTGTCAGACAATAGTAATTTTGTCCTGTATCACTAAAGGATAACTGGATCATCATCATCATCTTCATCATCATCATAAACACTTCTGCCGTTAAGCGGCGTGGGGAGGAATAATTTGCTATCCAGTGCACGTTGGCTGCCACTGGCTATTGTCATACAAGGTGTCGTTCCCACAATTTGCCTGATAGTTTCATTATTCACTCGATCTCGTATGGTTAGGTTGGCTGCTTTTCTCAGGCACCTCATCTCGCAGGTGGTAATTTTGCGTATCTGGGCTTTAGGAACTGGATCATATACCTTAAATAATGATTTTATTTTAAGAGTGTAATTTTGAAACAACTTTCAATAGTAATCATTGTTTTCAGTTCTTATTTCAACGTTAGTGCAGGAGTTCATGTTTTCATAACTTTATTTGCAATCGCTATCATATATTTCAGGTAGCTGTAACTGTACAGTATATCGTTTGTTTACCCAAAGCCACGTACGATCGAATTACGTCTAGTTATTTTGTTACACAATATCACTCCCAAGATCAATCCCTGGGGAATCCCGGTCCCAAGTGTGTTCAAGGACGTGTTTCACGAGGGTTAACCTTTAACCAATTGTCGTGCAGTATTTAATCCACATGATTGCAGCAACCAATCAGCGGCAGTACTCTAGTCAGTTACTAATTATATCGGATGGTGCAATCCGTGAATCAGCACTTCTGTACCCAACGCTGTCAGAATCAAACGTGTTTGCAAAGAGAGACTCGTCAACCTTCCAGCTGTTTCATCCAAGTAACTACTATTTTTCAAAACAGCATGACTCTTCCAGACAACATGGATAAAGAAAACGCAATAGATGCGAGGTGAGCATTTGTTTGGTTACAGTTATGTAATTGTATTGTGACTTGTCATGTGCTGGGTAGCAGATTATATAACTTGTCATGTTGACTGATGAACGTTGTGGAAATGTTTGTCTGCGCACTTACAGGATGAACTAAGCGCAAAGTTCCATCAGTATGCTTGCATGCATTGTGCACAAAACTCAAATAATTGCAAATGAAAAGTACATTGATTGATGTGTAAGTGTGTAAAATATCATATTGTGGCTTTAAACTTTAAATAAAGTCATCCATTGCAGCTCATTGCTGCTACTACTAAGAGTGGCATAGCGGCATTCATTCACGACAAAAACTGTTTGATTTTAGTGATAGTATTTGTTTGACATTTCAGACATGACTTTGTGGATTATCTGCATATTTAAAATATTACTTTTGTTGAATTGTTTTTTGAATGCTAAATTGTTTGTAATTTTTAACTTTCACCTCTTACGAAACAAATGTTAAATAAATGAATGAAATGTTTAGTTGTTCAACAACTTGTTGGAATGATGACGAAGGACACTAGCACTAAGTGACCTATGACAGAGCAGTAATTATTAAGGCGGTGATCTACGGCGTTTTAGTAGACCAACTAACTTACAAATAGGTTATCTGTCACATAAGAGAGAGAGAGAGAGAGAGAGAGAGAGAGGGGGGGGGGGGAGATAGAGAACATGTTGGCAGCAGGCCTGTAGCATCAATAATTATTCACCTACAATCTGATAGTTACAGTTAGTGACACTGTTTGGTTCACTTGTGCTCAGCGAGGTTGTTGGCACCTAGGCACAAAACACATAGGGGTAGGAGAGAGAAAGGGAGCAGAGATAGATAGGTATCCCACTCCTCCACCTCAAAATAAAGTAAGAAAACACTGGAAAACATCCAGCCACACCCCCTCACCATCTTTCATTTTCTAGGCAACTAATTGATGCCACCTGATATAACTTGAGGGCTCCTGAGCTCTCCTTGTTCTGGCACTTGTGGATGAATAAGCTGGATAAGTGGGTGGATGTGGTGGGGTTAAGAGAAAAATGTCTATCACCATCACCACCCTTTTTTTCCTGGGGTTTGCCTTAGCTTGCTGCCAGCAGTTTTTTTAAAACTGACTGCAGCAAGAAGCATCTGATATTGCTTGTTTGTTTTAACTAGTTGTTCCAAACTGTTACCTTTCAGGAGGCTCAAGACCATGAGTCACACTCTAAAGACCTGCATTAAGCAGGCCTTCAAACGAAAGGGCCTCACATGTGGCATGACATCGTGTGGAGAACTGTTGCACAGGTTAGTTCATTTAGTAAAACTTTATTCTCAAACACATTTATAAAAAAACTGAGGTTAAATTCAATGGGCAGAGCTTCAAATGTTACAGACATTGGTTAAGTAAATGTATTTGCCAGTCAGTACTTTTGCTCTTGGAGACTGGTTTAAGAAAAGTTATAAGATGACACCCTGCAAATGCTGGAGTGAAAGGTAATGAATAAGTGGACTAACTGGCAAGTAATGCAGAATACAAACAGGAGGAAGCATGGACACAGTTGATATGGTCAATTCTTTGTTGTCTAGCAGGTAGATGAGGGTGAGTCTCTGACACTAAACCATTCACATGACTTGGAAGTAAAGCTTAGTGAAGTACATCTTTGCTGCCTTTGATATCAAGATAGAATACATTATAACCCACTCCTCATGAGAACAGTCATTAAAGCTACCTTGGCATGACTGATGTGTCAAAGGAATGGGTACACATTGGAATTCCTAGTGTACAGTTATGTAATTGTTGTATCATACCATAACATTTCCGTGTGGGTTCTGGGGTCCCATTGTGGGGAAAACTAGATAGACCCTCTGCCTCCCCAAAATCATGCTGTACTAGTCGACTAATTGGGAGCTTCCTTCAAAGTTGAAGTGCGTCTGCCTGAGAAGCAAGGAACCAACAGTCTGCATACATGTAAGTCAGATCTGTAAAGTGGATTTGTATATAACACTTCGGTTCTGGAACAGGACTTGAGTCCAGAAGTGGATGAACAACCAGAAATTCTACAGGAGTTTACAGCTAGTGAACGTGAAGAAGAAGAAGATACCATAGCATATAAGATCACTGAATGAGTCCCGGACTCTAAGGAGAAAAGAAACCATTGAGACAAATCATAAATGCAGCATTTACGATCAAAGAAGCTAGCCAAATACACCATTATTTTCATGTCTGTTCGATTAGGATCACCATCTCATATTACCCTCAGAATAAATGGATCAGGTCTATTTTCATGTCCCTGCGACGCCACATGGCCGAGCCACATTGATATTTATCTCTCTGTCTTCTCCTTACTCTTTTCCCCATCAAGTTTGCCCATCGTTGCCATGTTTTAAAGTGTATTCCTTCTCATAAAATATCCAGATAAATCTCCAATGTCTGCCTCTAATTTTTATCTGTTTCTTGGAGGTGCACATGACTTTCCCTACTGGCCAAGCTGCTGCTATGGAACCCCTGTTTACATCATTTATCTGAAGTTCTATCAGATGTCCAATCATGATTTGCTAGACATCTTGAAAGAAGGTAGTTTATGTACGCATACATCATGTATAAAACACACCATAATAAATAGCTAGGGAAATGAATGAATGCTGATAGAAGACATGAGATTAGGTGAAATAACCTGTGTGAGAATGTGTGAACAAGGAATAAGGCGTGGATTCAGCCAGTACAACACATAAGAGTATGAGAACAATGTGTTTATAATCAGTGTGCAACAGGAACAGCATCTACACCTTAAGATATTTGTAGCAGGAGATTGAGCATCTATGGGTGTGCGCTGTGATATCAATTCTCAAGTCAGTAATTACTATAAAACATACACAGAAGTTAACATTGGGATTGCCAGATTTCTGCAGCATGCTGTGACTAATTATTATTATTTTTTTTAAAACAATTGCATGGCATGTGATGCCTGAGATTCGCTCTGAAAAAACCCATCACCTAACTACACCGCTGCTGGAAAACTGAAATAGTTAAAAATAAAATGAGAGACTTGGAGGTATATAGCGAACTGAGAGCACACATTTTCTCAGCATGGAGATGACACTGTTCAGATTGATGGCTTTCTCTCTGTCATTTGAACATCAACTGAGTTCCTACTGTTTATCTTCTATGTTTTCAAAAGCAGTCAGTAAATAATTAATGAGTTAGTCGGCTGGTTTGATTTTAGGACATAATAGATGAGTAACTATTATAATATTGTGTGTAGTTTTTGTATTGTCAATGCCACATTTTTATTAAATATATGTTTTAAAAAAAGTTGTAGTCTGTTAACACAGTGGCTGGACGTATGATCTATAATAGCTGAAGGACTCACCAGGGCCTATAAGAAAAGCAAAGAATAGTAAAACTGTAATGTTGTCATGTATATCATAAGAGACAACATGGGAAAATTATCAATAGAATGGCAAACTCATGGTACAAAAAGTTCACTGTAAAATTCAATTAATAATTAAGAGGTCAACAAACGACAGCTCAGTGTAAGTTTGTTAAGAGGCTATTAGAAGATAAACAGAGGCTAAACAGCATGAAGAACCTTTGGCACAGCACCTGAAGCAGGTTATAGTAACAGTTTTGAGATCAAGCATCCTTCCTTTGGCAGTTTATGGTTGTGAGTCATGGACTCTTAAGTTTTGAGTTAGTTCCGTATCCTTTTACAAGACGTTGCAGAACCAACCCCAGCATTTGTTGGCTGTTGTGGTTTGTCTAGGAAATTTACATCCAGTAGTTTTATGGACTCTTGCTAACCCTTTTCTGAAAGCCGAGGTGTTTTGGCCATGTCAAACTTCATGGTGGCTTGGAGAGAAACAGTGTTTGAAGGTACAGGTTCTGAAAAATAAGACTGAGGCTGACCTCCCCGAATATGGACGCAAAACATTGAAGACGCATTGGATATGAAAGCACATAGGGCTGGATAATTGGCTTGAAACAGCAAGACTTTCAGGTGTGGCATAAATAGAGCGACCTTCTGTAAGGGACCTGCTAATTGATGATGATGAACGCTAAGAAGATGTTCTTGAAAATGATTGATGTAAAAAATGATAATGTACAATACAGTGCACAGTTCTAGTTTGGTGATAGAGACTAAATATTGTTTGCCTGTGTTTTTCAGGTACCCAGGAACTGTAATGTTCTGTATTTTGCCAAGTACTGACAATGTCAGTGTTCACATCCATCAGATGTTAATCCAGGCGTTCTGCCGAGAGAACGGCATTATCATCATTGAACTGGATGATGAGGCTAAGCTTGCAACACTCATTAGCAAGTTGATGGACAGAATTCATGGAGTTCGTATACTGGGAAATGCAGATGATACAAGCTGTGTGTTGCTACAGGTAAGATTATGTGTTTATTAACTTTTTTTAGCAGATGGTAGGTGAGATCAGAAAGCCAGATAGGTAGAAGATCAGATTTATAAGGTAGGATCCCCCGTGTGTGTTCCGGGACCCTATTATAGGGAAAACAAGAATAGACCCACTGCCTACCCAAAAGCATGTCGTAAGAGTCGACTAATTGCGAGCTTTCTTCGAAGTCGGAGTGCATCTGCCTGTGAGGCAAGAAACCAACAGTCTGCACACAGATGTGTCAGATCTGTCAGACAGAAGCACATGCAACACTCAGATTCTGGAACAGGACTGCAGCCCAGAAGTGGACAAACAACCAGAACTTTCCACCAGATTTTACAGCTGGTGAACGCAAAGAAGAAGAAGATAAGGTAGGAGGGTCAGGTTTGTGAGGTTAGCAAGTCAGATGTGTGAACTTATAAATTTGCTGTGTAAGGTTGGAAGGTCAGATGTTTGAGGTTAAAGTGTAACGTGAGTGAGATTAGGTCAAGTGTGAAAGGTCAGATTTGTAAGGTTTTAAGTTATTAAAGTATGTCAGGCTAGAATGTCACAGTTTGATACTCTAAGGTCAAATATGTGTTTATCTGTTTAAAAGATAAACTATCTATCCATAAGATGGACATTGTTGGGTCCATAAAATATGGTAGAATTTGGGTTTTTAAATTTGAACCAAATATGGTGCATGGATTGTTCTAAGTTGTGTTTATACAGGAGATTCTTCGTAGAGTTTATCCAGTTATTGTTTTTATTAAATTCTATAGTTACAGTGTCTTTGATCATTGACACGCAGCAGCAGCTGATTGAGTTTTAGTCTCTTTAGATGTCTGAATCACTATATTGTCTCTTATTCCAGCAGTGACATCAATGAAATGATCATTTCTACCTCTGTCTCTTCTAGTAACACCAACATCTTTTCTGTCTTTTCATTCCTCTCTTTTTGATTTATATAGCAACCCTGATTAGCACTTGTAGCAGAGTGGTGTTTAGAATTATGCTATTTATCTTCTTCTTCTTCTTTGCTTTCACCAGCTGTAAACTCTGGCTATTTATGTCTTGGTATTTGACCTCTTTGCTGATGTGTGGATTGTTGAAATATTTTGACCATAGATGTGTTACTGCATTAACTTTCTGGCAAATTGCTTCTTTTTCTATAAACTTTCCATGAAACTGCTGCCCACAAACTTACAATCACAGCTTGCTTAAAAAATATTGTGCATTTGTATGTTGACTGGAGTTAGTAATCTTCACATCTTCATGTCCTTGGCAAGTTGATCACCATGTTCAGTTGTTGCACAATATTTAGTTGTGCAGTTTTTTTTCACTGATACAAATGATACTAGTCATCAGCAAATAGTAATTCAAATGCATTGTTTTGCAGTAGTGGTGCTGCTCATGATATATTAGTAAATTACTGTTTCTAATGATAATCTGGTTTTGTTTGTTTGTATATTTCCAGTATCCTAAGCAAGGTTATGGCAATAACGACAAGAAACTCATAGAATTTTATGAGGAAATGATGAGGATGTCTTACCCAATGCCTCACTTGACCCTACCTGATTGATGCCAGCCAAGAGCATCCTGTGTAAAAAACTATAAAAAAAAGGTTAGACAAATGAACCAGTTTGATATAGTGTTGTCTAAGATTGTTTAAGAAGTAAAGTAAAATGTACAAGAATACTGCTGGTGAAACTCGTTTCAGACATAAAATTATTTGAGTGAAGGTAGATTACTTTATTTCTCTTTTGGTTCTTGTGAGACATACTTATCTAATCTGGTCAGTGACTAATGAAGTTAAAAGTATTGATTGAAAGAGGTGAATATCACAATTCTGCTGTAAACAAGCACATCATAATTGTACTGAGAGAAAAAATATAACCTGAAAAAAAAGAAAAAAAAAAGAATGTATCCAGCTACACAATTATCTGACTCAGTTTATTTTGCCAGACTGAGGCATGCGCTAAGACACGGCTATTCAGCTGGTGGTACGCAGGCCACATCTGGCCTGCCGAGGCCTAGCAAGTGGCCTGCCAAGGCCTAGCAAGTGACCTGCCGAGGCCTAGCAAGTGGCCTGCCAAGGCCTAGCACGTGGCCTGCGGATCATTGCCAGTTGTATTGTGTAAATGATCTTTCAATGCTGGGGCTAGGACCTCTGACCCATGACGATCCGATTTTTTTAAAATGTCGGGCCCAGAATAATCTTAGTTAAATAACCCTGCACTAAGGTTGCCCTCTTTCTCTCCATTCAGAGTATCAAAAGTATGTTAAATTTACCTGTAGGTATGTTTTTTCCCTAACACTCCAAGATGGATAACATATCCATTCTCACAATTCAGTAATGATATAACATTTGGTATAATTAAATATCGATGGCTCTTGTAAAAATTATGAACCCTTTGTGGGAAGCAATCTGGTAACATTTGAATTAGATAATAAACAAACAAAAAGTCTTTTGAATGAATTAAAAGAAGGTTAAGGTTCTTGTACATAATAATTTTTCATCTGTTAGAGTTAAAATATCTGTTAATTTGTGTGTTTTATTCTGATAATATGGTGTTCAGACTGACTGACTTGTAGATCTTCCTGCTAATTGCATTTATGGCATATGATCTGTTACAAATTTTTTTTTCTACAACTAACATTACCAAGCTATTCACAGTTATATTAAATGCAAGGTTTCATGTAATTTAAGGGAAAAAAACCCCAAAAGAATCATAAGTACTTTTTTAGTGTGTAGTTTTTGTGCATTTTATAAGTGCCAGGAACATCAAAAGTGTCTTTAAGATATCGGCCTTATCTAATACATTTTGTACAGCAGTATTTAAAAGTAGCGGGGGGGGGGGGGGGGGGGGGGGGGGAGATTCAGTGTAATAGATGGTTCTATGTGAAATGTTTTTTTTATGGTATGTCTTTAGATGCCTCTGAATATATGAGTCTTCAGGTATGTTTACTATTAAAAAGAGCATGACAAAAATATTTAGTATATTTATTTGTAAGTTTTACCCCACCAAGACATCACACAGAGCGATAAACAACCGGTGACACAAAGTGCAACCATTCGGATAAGAATCACCCGTGGAGAGGTCCGAGAAGACACATTTAACTGTTAGGTTATATTAGAGCCCCTGGCAACAGGCAGGATGGGGCCTCAAAATAATGAAAAATTTGCATCCCACAAGGGGAACAACAAATACAGATTGCTTATTTGTTGCTTTAATAAACATGCTGAGCCTGTTCCACAAATGTATTTTGTGATCTGAGGTTATCACAGTTTCTTAAATATATTTTTTTCATTTTCAGACTGACTGTGTCAGCAGTGTACAGTGGTTTACACTAGAAAATTGCTGTCAAAACTAGACATCAGTAATCTGGATTTCTGCTAGCACCCAAGAGCAGACAACGCTGCCAACCCTGCAGCCGATCTAAAAACACAGTGACCTCCCTCGGTTATGAATATTTATTTCATACTGAATGGATCAGCCAAGGATTTTTCATGACTCCATAGAAAAAAATCTATATATATTCAGAGGAGTGTCATTGTTAATTGTTTTTATCTTTTTGCAATCTGAAGAGGAAATTTAAAATGCTTGTTGCATACTTAGAAGAGAATGAGATACATGAAATGTGGTAATATTTCACACTCATTTATTATGTTAACTGGTTTTTGTGAACATTGATATGCCATATCTTTGTTGACCTGAAATAATTAAATACTGTGTGTGTGTAAATAATGTTATTCTTTTATATTTCTTAACAAGAAATGTCATTCAGACTTTTTTATTTGGGGATAAATACAAGAACATTGACTGTTCAACAATTGTTCCTGATAGTTTAACTAAGATCTCCAATAATTGACTGCCACAGGTTAGCATCACTTGCATGTTCTGCTTTCAACTGATGGATGTGAAGTCAGAAGCGACATTTGATACCTGAAAACCTGGAGCCCTTTTTCATTATGTATCAGTTATTTTTATGATGTCGTGAATTTGTCTTGTCTGAAATTCTTCTAATTTTGTTGAATTACATTAATGTGTCGTGAAGACAATGCTAAATTCATAATTTTTAAGTATCAGTGTTTTTGTTGCAATAATCTACCATTGTGCCAATATGCAGATAATTATTGATGTTTAAAATGTAAATACTGTTAGTTTATTGTGGGTAATTACGTAGCACATCCAGTTTTGTGTTATTGTTATCTTTACTTATCAAATAAATTCACTGAAGATAAAAACTCATATATTTGAGTGTTGTTTCCATTCGATTGTTTATCTGATTTTTATAGTGTGATCTAATTGCTTGCTCTGCATGAATATTTGCTACCATCTTCCTTTTCTTCTCAAATCCTGTTCTGACAAGCAGCATCAGATTGTGAAGAGGCATCTGGTGTCAGCTGTTGTTCGTCCACTTCTGCACTTCGGTCTTGTTCCAGAACTTGACTTATTTATATGCAGACTCCCAGTGTGGATTCCGGCACCACGGTGGAGGGGGGTGGGGGGGGGTGAAGAATAGACCCAGTGCACCCTAGCAAGCATGTCAAGACTAGACTAATTAGGAATCGTTCCATCGAAGTTAGACTGCATCTGCCTGAGAGGTGAACACATGTCCAAACCTTGTGAACTGTTGTATGGCTGGCTGAACACATGTCCAGACCTTGTGAACTGTTGTGTGGCTGGCTGAACATGTGTCCAAACCTTGTGAACTGCTGTCTTCTAAAATAGTTTGACCACTGGTTTCATCCCCACCTGTTATCATCGTTTCTGGTAATATCTCTTCTTGTTACATTTAAGATTTATTAGACATTTAATTTCTGTTTTAAGTTGGGTTTTTTTTCTGTTTCCTATTGTTGTAAAGGAGGTAAATCTTAGCAAGCAAAATCCCCAGTTAACTGAGGCCTTTAGGGCCTCAAGTTGTTCAGTGCACACTGCATGTAATGGGTGACTTTGTTACGCTACTAGTAGTTAAATACACTTATATTGCTGGATGTGATACACACACAGAAACCCTGCATGCTACTTTTCATGTATTGCACTGACTGAATAAACTTATGTCGCTCGATAACACATATGTATACCTGCCTTCTACTGCTACAAATGATGCTAAACTCAGACTGGAGTGCTTGCCCATTCATATACTATAGTCTACTATGTGAGTGGATTTTAAAATACTTCTTTAGGCAGGGCTTGTTCCTAGAAAAATATGTTCCAGTAACACCGACAAACTGTCTAGAATAAGGTGCTGATACCTAATACAAAGTGTCTTTTACAGTAGTTTTAAAAGAATGATCAATGAAAAGGATGTATTATACGAAACATTGAAAGAAATGTAACGACGAAATAGCTTTCAGAGCTTTATTTCCGTCTAAGAAGAATAATTGGCATCAAGTGACAAGACAAGATCAGAAACACTGAAGTATTGGAAAGGGAAGGTACCACAACAGTTCTCTGAATGTTTAGGTGGCTTGGTCACACTTGGAGGATGGTAGAGTCTAAAAGTACATCCTCTGTGATAAATTACAGATTGGTAGAAAAGTCGAGATACGCCTCTACTACGATATAAAGATGTATGCAAATGGGACATGAATGATACATGTACTGAAGTAGATTCCTGGGAGCAAAATGTCAAGGATCATGTTTCTTAGATAAATCATCAAGGGAATTTAAATAAAGGACAAAAATTGTTGCAGACAGGCTGAGTGTCTGATAAGAAGCACACCTGTGATGTCAATAAAGGTACTGAAATCCCATAATCTAATTGAAGAAAGCTTTTTTTTCTTTTCAACATGAGGTGGGGGGGGGGGGAGGTGGGCAAAAAAAGAAGGGGGGGGGGGGGGTCTTACTAGTCACACTGGTCATCGCCATGAGTTGTGATTCCCTTGCCTCCATAGACCACAACGCCCGTGTGTCACCGGGGCCCTCACGGGAAGCAAAGAATAGTGACACTGCACCCTACCAGGCATGTCGTATGAGGCGACCAAGAGTAGGGTTGGGCTTAAGGTTGGCTACCTCATCCTGTAAAAACCATAGCCTCAAAACCCAACCAACCATGGAGAAGTCAAAAAGAGAAGCGAGTAAAACCCAGCCAACCAAGATGAGGGAGGATCTTCAAATAGAAGAAGTATGACACGGTGTGGAGAAAGCCGTAAGGAGTCCGGATCGTTGACGTACCTTCTCTCAGCTAGGAAAACCTCCAGAATTGGCACCTGGAATATTAGAACTGTCTATGAAATAGGGAAAACAATGGAAGTACAGGAGAACAGCATAACTAGAATGTATTTGCATTGGAACCCACAGGAGCATAGGAATGAAGGAAGGTCAAAAAACACATGGAGAAGAGAGCTGGAGAATGAAGTTAGAAAGATGGGGAGGACATGGGGAGGGCTCCATGCAATGGCGAAGGATAGAACGACTTGGTGTGAGTTGAATGAGAACCTATGCTCTATTGAGGGATAGAAAGGCAGAAGAAGAAGACAGACCACAATATAAAACTATCGTCTGATAAATGAAAGGGTGCCAACAGCAACATGTGAAACTAAAATAACTTTTCTTCATAAAAAAAAAAAAAAAA